AAGTGGACGGTCTGGGAGTGGTGATCAACGGTGGCGTAGCTATTGAGTTGGAATCCTGGAACGTCATCACAACACGAACCTCAATGATCTTCTTTGGAGTAGCAAATGCCTCCTCGAATCGCCTCATTTCATCTGTGTCGTATTTCTATCTGTTATCTTTTCTTGAGTTAGATTTTTTAGATTTCAGTTTTTACTTAATTTTCTTGTATGCCAGAGTGCAGATTTTCATCTAATGGTTATTTCTGCCTCTATTTGACATAAGGAGAAGAAGAAAGTATTGTAGACATTTCTTCATGAAGATTACCGATGCTGCGATGCCTTCTCTGTATGTAATCGATGAGTGTATATACAGAGTATTTGTGCAAGGATAAAAAAGACAGTTAAAGTATTTTGTGGCTGTAATTAGTAATTTAGTGGCTGTGGATAGAATCACCCCTATTTTTATGGTCCACTTATTTCCACCAATTCCCAATGTATTTAGAGTGGATGGGTTTATCAAATTAAAGTTTTTCAATTGTTTGTACCTTATACCATACCATTAAAATACTACCTCCGTCTAGGGGCGGGCAAGAATCCCGGTCCCGTTGTCCCATTCCGGTATATCCCGAAACCGTACCGGTGTTGTCCCGTTCCGTTTGGGTCTCATTGATTTTGTCCCGCACCGGTCCCGTACCGGTTTCAAACGGGACGGGACCGGGACATTGGAAGGTTATCCCGAACCGTCCCGTTGTCCCGTTTGTAATAACTATATAGATTTTGTAGCATGTAACTAGTTTGTAATGTCAACTCAAAAAATAAATGATAACATGTTTTTAGTTTTCATGCCCGATTTTTAAATTAAAAATAATACCTAAAATAAATATTTACTAACATAGGTTTTTATCTCACTTTATATATCTATATATGAGTATCTCACAACTAGAACAAATGATTTTGAATAAAATAATTCATTTTTGCTTTGTTTTAAATTTAAATTTCAAATTTTGCTAAACCTAACTAAAATCTAATACGTAGTAGCTTTTAGCTTGTGATGAACATTAATTAACTTTTAAAATGTTAATATTTTAGTGCATGATACTTTAGGAATGCTAATATATATTCATTACAAATGATTATTTTTTGTTAGTTTGGGACGTCTCGAACCGTCCCGAACCGTTCCGAATCATCCCGGTCCCGATTTAAATGGGACAAGACTGGGACAAAGGCTTATCCTGTACCGTACCGTCCCGTTATTATTAATTGGGACGGGACCGGGATAACCCTAATCCCGAACCGTCCCGACCCATGCCCACCCCTACCTCCGTCCCATTTATATTGTCCCGGAAGAGGGTGACACAGTTATTAAGAAAAGTGGGTTTGTGTGGTTGATATTAATTGATAAAGTAAGAATAAAGTAAGAATGATTTAGAGTCACACAAACTTTGCCAAATATGGTATGAGCAATTTAAGTGGGACTTCCCGAAAAGGTAAAACGAGACAATATAAATGTGACGGAGGGAGTAATGACCAGGCTAGATATGTGGAGTAATAATTAATTAAAATTGGAATATCAATTTTGAATAAGTTTATACTGTATCCAGAGTAATTTTTTCCTAAATTTTAAGCATATATAATTGTGAGTCCATGCAACTATATTACACTTTTTTTTTAATTAAGAATTGAGGGGATTCAATAGTTAAAATGGTAGATTGTTCTAGAAAAAAATAGTTAAGATAGTAGAAAGCATCTAGGGTGTATCTCAACTCAATTAAGGGAGTATTTGCAACAGCTTCTGCTTAAAAAAAAGCACTTTTGGAAAAAGTGATTAAATAAAAGTCGATAGTGTTTGAGAAAAAAATGATTTTGAAAAGTATAAGTTAGTAGTGTTTGGTAAAATAAGTACTTTTGGTGTATAAAAAGGGGAAAAACACTTTTAACACGAAAGTCGAGAAAAGTAAAAATTGATATTGTTTGGTAAATAAGTACTTTTTTAAGCCAAAAGCCGAGAAGTGTTTTTTTAAGCAATTGCAAACACTCCCTAAAGATGTCAGTTTAATTTTCTCCTAATAATACTTTAGGATTATCTGGTGAAAATGCCTTTTTTTAATCATATTCAACTTAGCATTAAATCTAAATCAAACCATTATAAATTCCCATTAACATTAACTAAATCATACCATTACTTATTTCTGAATTAAGAACTACTATAGATTCTACCTATTAAATGTGTTTTGAAAGTTATTGTGCTTAAATGAGAGCATTACTTTTCACACCTTCCTGATTTGCCAAGTTACATCAGCAATTCATCTAAATAATGCAATTCATATAGATAAAGACATACTCCGTAACATATTTTCACATATCTGCACCCCTGATTTGCAACTCACTTAAAATTTGCATACTGGACTAAGCTGCTAAAGATTTAGCAACTCACTTAAAATTTGCATACTGGACTAAGCTTACTTTAAAATTAAGCCACAATACTTGATACTTATGACTACTTATTTTTAGCCATCTTTGTTTTTACATTTTCTGTTTGACATTGGAATTTTTTTCCTTTGGTTATTTTTCTGAATCTGGACTATGAATTAGTGTTAACTTGGAGTTCAAAGTAGTGCAAATCCAGGCCAATGGGCGGTCGAAACAAATGTTATGTGTGGGTCGAGAAAGGAACAATAGGATATTGGAAACTGTATTTCTTTGTCTTTTTGTGTCATTTTATCTAAAGCTAAAAGCGCTTTGGATCTTGGAGTCGTGAAAGCCAAGATCGTTAGAGAAAATGATTAATTTTCAATATCATTTACAGATTTTGTTAACGTGAATTCCAATACATAGACAAACTGAAACAACTACACGTCTACACTAATCTTTTTGGGCAATCTCAAATTGAGGGAATATAAATGCCGTTTTCGTCTTCTTTTATGTAAAGCTAAAAGAGCTATGGTTTTGGAGCCGTGAACATCAAAATTATGCAAGGAACTCCTCTGAAGTCACAAAAGATGCGGTAGTCTCTACTCTTATGTGGAAGATCAAGTAAGTATTCGAATAACATGAGCTTTACTATTTATCTGCAATATTTTTATGGGAAAATGAAAACTAATAATCCAACCTTTTAGCAGTCTTCTTACAATAGTCTCACCTTTTCGTTATTCAAGAATAATCCGACCTTTGCACCCCATCTTCATTCGCTGGTCCCTGACCGGTTCATGACCTGCTATTCCAAGTTATTTTCTTATCTTTACAAACCATTATACCATAAATCTCACCTTTCACAAAGATAATATTTTGCAAAGATAAGAAAATAATTTGGAATAGCAGGTCATTAACCGGTCAGGGACCAGCGAATGAAGATGGGGTGCAAAGGTTGAATTATTCTTGAATAACGAAAAGGTGAGACTATTGTAAGAAGACTGCTAAAAGGTTGGATTATTAGTTTCCATTTTCCCTAGTTTTAACTCTATTATTGAATAAAAGTGTTGGGGAAAACTCCAGACTTTCCCGTTTCGTGAAGTTAAGATAGGCACTTAGGAATTATGGTAGCAATGGGAGCACACGATTTAAATTCTCCGATATGGAGATTCTTCCACTATACAAAAGAATAGTAGGATTTACAAGGATGTAACAAAATTATCTCACTCAATGGTGGTTCACTCAAGCTTGAGGATATGAACTTCCCAAGCTATCTCTCTTCTCTCTCAAAGAGGTTCTCTAACTCTCTAGCTTTCTCACTATAAGAAGTGGATTCTCTCTTTGCTAGGATTGATAGGAATGAAGTCTCTTACCCCTATATATACTACTCCACCTTCACAATGAATGGTGGGGATGTTTCCATCCAAGGGTGGAGATTGATTCTTTAGAATGGTCCACACACTCTAGGAGTCTCCATACTCTTCCACTCTCTTCCATATCATTCCATACTCTTCCATAAGCTTCCGGAAGGTTCCACACATCTCTAGAATATTCTAGAGGATTCCATACTATTCCACAAGCTTCTAGAGAGTTCTAGACTTCTCTAGGATTCTCCGGAACGTTATAGAAAAATCTATACTTCTCTAGAAAGCTCTAGAATTTTCTAGAACCTCTCCAATTAAGGAGGGATCCCAACAAATCTCTCCCTCCCGACTTAATTGGGGGGTAGTAGCAAACCTGCACCTTGACAGCAATCTTCGATCTTCTTTGTTGGTATTACCTTGGTCGTCATGTCTGACCAGTTCTCGTCTGTGTGAACCTTGTCAAGACACAGTTTCTTTTCTTCGAGAACTTCTCGGCAATATCTTTACCATGGGAGAGAATCTCTTCAATGTGCAAGCCTTTTCCTTGTTGGAATCCTTTGACGATCAACCGAGCTTTGTAGTGAGGCTTTGAGCTACTATCTTCGATTCTTCGGTCTTGATTCGATACACCCATTTATTCTTCCAGTATGCATATTGTTTCTCAATTCAATTAAAATCAATACTAAGCAAGAAGAGCAACTTCTACGTGGCCATTTAGTAGGATTAAATCAATTAAAATCCATTTAAAACTTATTACAAATTCTGAAAATGTATATAAAATTATAAATTGAAGAGTTTAGATTTTCTTTTCAGTTTTCCCTAAAAATGTATAACATCTTTGAGATAAGACCTAAACAGGTACAATTTTTAATTTTCTTATATGTTCATGAGTAGATTGACAACTCCATTATTGAATAGCTAAATCCTTATTTACATAAATAAATATCATAGTTTTTTGTCAAAGATATAAAAGTTTTTGCTCAGGTATAAATAATATATTGTCGTTCTTATGGGTTTGTTAATTTAACACTTATGTACTGTGGGAGAGGTTGCAAACATTTTTGTGGGTAGACAGCACATATGTGATCCCAAAGGTGAGAATTGAATTGAAGGCATTTTACATTTGATAGACTTAAACGTGATGATAAATTTGGATTTTTGAGTCTATAGTTCAGTAAGGACAAGTTACATTCTGGTTGAGATCATTTGCTTGATATGATACTTCTCTTTAAAATGGGCGGGAATGGAAAACAGGACAATAAAAGCTAACTTTAAGCTGTGTTAAACATACTAGTAATGGAAAAGAATAAAGCAACCTACAACCGTTGCATTGTTTCAGAGTTCACATCAAGTAAAGATTTTAGAAAAGAAACATGTTTATAAAGAAAGAATAAAAGAATAAGGATAACATTAAACATACACAATGAATCATTTATAGCAGATTAGAAAAGCCAAGTTGGGAGGTTGGTTTGGATGTCATCCCCAGAGTAAGGGAGATGGGTAGTGATGAGTTTATCTTCCATATCAAAGACGTAGAGATTCTTATCTCTATATTCAACAAAGTAAATGCAGTTTCTTCTGAGATTGGGGACATCGCGGCATATGTGGAGGGAGGAAAGGCAGCCCAAGAGAAGCGTACGCCCACGAAGGCTATCCAGCTCTGCCCATTTTCTGGTGTAGAAATCAAATGTAAAAACCCTGAAACACTCCACGGGAGACGGAGGCCCCGAGCTTCTGCTTCCGTGCCCACGACGAACTTTGATCACCACAATAATGACGCTGCGGCCGCCACAACTCTCTGCTGCAAGGAAGCCTTGACAGCTTATATAACCATTTCGTCCGCACGTTAAGCGAAGGGGAAGGGGAATTTGACTTTCCAATTCAAGCCTCGCAATTCCCTCTGCAACCACAACTCGTACCAAATCGAGTTTGGAAAGCCTTAGGCCATACAGTTTTCCGCCGATGCTCACAAACGGGACTAGCCCCGCTTCCGGATCGGCTAACCTTCCTTCCACAAAACTGTTGTTGTCACCCACATTGCAAATCCCAACTGTGGACGACTCTATGTTATAGACCGCGACAAAGACGGTGCCGGGAGTAGAAGTGGATGATGGTGATGATAATGAAAGGCAGGCGAAATCAATGAGTAAATCGAATTTGGGAAGTTGCACCTTATGGAGCGAATAGACGTTGAGAAGGAAGACGTGTTTGCTGTTCTTCAAATCGTGTACCAGCAACCATCCTCCCCCGCCGCCGTTGGTGTCCATGAGGTATTTGTCTTTCAGGAATGCTGATAGATCGGCCTTGTAGGAACGGTTTTCCGAGATGCTGTACAGCACGCCTTTCCTAGAATCATCGTGTTCTCGAAGTAATAGCCTGGGGTGTTGTTCATAACGATACAATTCTTTCCGCCGCCGCCGCGGCCGCCGGGGACTGGTCGGCGGAGTATAATACTGCTCGTCTACAATTTCCCTGGCCGCATCGTGACTAATACCCATTATCTTTTGTTTCAACTTCTCTAGTGCCCAATTCAACAAATCAAAAACTGTTTCCATTGATCGATTCTGTCCGATTTTACCTCGCTATACGAAGGAATGGAGGAATCAGGATGAGATAATCTGAACCAAATCCTTATATACGGAGTATCACCAATCCGACCCGAACACTACCTACCTAGTCCTAGTAGTACTCCGTATATAACACTGACGTACTCAACTCCTATTTTGACTGAGAGATATGCCCAGCCCGTCATTCCTGGAGAATGGACGAAACATGGTGTTTTTTTGGCAAGTGTTTCCAAAAGTGATTATTGTAATACTTTCAAGTTTAAGTGATTTTTACTTATTTCTTTTTAGACCAGAACGGATTAGAATGGATGAGATTAGACTTAAAGAGATCATATCAAACTTAAATAGACCAAAATAGATCAGTCTTAGATAATTATGAAATATACAAAGACCATACATTTATCAGACCAGTTTAGACCAAATCAGACTTAAACAGATCATACCAGACGAGAAAATTTCAATGCAATTAAAAACATCCTTACTTGAAATAAGTGTGAAATATGAAAATATTATAATTACAATATAATCTAAAATGAAATTAAGACAAATATTTAGAAATATGGTTGCCCCCGCACCATAATCTATCTTTGATTCCCTTACGTCATTGATTAGAAAGTACCCTTTAATTTAGTTTTTTAATCATCGCAATTTTAATTTCAAAAATCAAATCTCGTACATTCACATTTATTTTAATCGCTGAATTTATTTATTACCTCATCCACTTTCCTCGTCCATGTGAAGACGATACTCGTGCTTATATCATACTCCGTATAATATAGTTCTTACACCTATTTTAAGTGCGAGAAAACTAATAAAAGTGAAATGATAATAGATAATTAGTCTTGGACCATTGTGATATAATATACTATCCTTGTTCCCCTATTATTGTCCCATTGTGATTTACGATTAGTCTTGGACCCGGTTCGGGCCACCCGACCCGGTACTGTGTGGGCCCGGCCTGGCACAGGAACCGGATACCGGTTCAGGGTCTTGGCCCGGTTTGTGGTCGAAACCGGGGCGGGTACGGGTTTGATTAAAGGCGAACCGATCGGGCCCGGTTCGGGCCTTTTTCATTTTTTTTGTTTTTTTTTGGTTTGGGCTTTGGGTTGGGTTTAAATGGGCTGGGCTGGGTGTTTCCGATGGGTTTGGGTGATGGGGGTAGGGGGTAGGGGATGAAATAATCAAGAAAACAAAAAAATAGCATCGGACCCGGCCCGGCACCGGTGGATAACCGGGCCGGTTCCGGGCCTACCCCTAAACCCCTAAAGCCCGGCCGTGCCTAGGCCTTACCCGAGCCCGAACTGGGCCCGGTCCATGACTATTTACAATGATTGACCGAAGATAATGCAAACGAATCCCTCTACGCACTCAAATTATTTTTAGAAAATAATTACAAATTCAGAAACTACATTAAAAACTTTATAAAGTCGCAAAAATCAGAATCAAATTTGATAAAAATTAATATATAAAGTAGAAGATTAAAATGTTTTGTTTTTACCAAGTGAATAGGAACTGAGACAATAACAAGAATACAGAAGGAGGATATTTTTATTCAAAAAAGGTATATCTTCTACATTAAAAATCTCTCTATATATATATATATATATATATATATATATATATATATATATAGGAAACTTCATGTCAGGCCGGCCTGACGGGCTGCTCCGTCCGGCCTAGGGATGGACTCGGGCCGGGCCAACCGGCCCGGAACCGGACCGGCCCGCTACTGTGCGGGCCCGGACCGGCCCGGTCAACCGGTTCGGTTCCGGTTCGGGCCTCCAGGCCCGGTGGTATACCGGTCCGGGCCCGGGCCTCCAGTTTAGTGAACCGGCCCGGCCGGGCCGGGCCCGGTTCGGGCCGGAATTTAATTTTTTTTTTTTTTTGAATTTTTTTAAGTTTTGGGTTGGATTAGGTATTTTGGGCCATTTGAGGTGGTTTGGGGTGGTTTGGGGTGGAGGGGGAGGGGTAGGGGGTTAAATAAGAGAAGAAGAAGAAAAAAAAAAAAAAACATTCCGGGTGGCCCGGCCCGGCCCGGCCCGGTTCTGGCCCGGAACCGGAACCGCCCACCACCGGTTCGGGCTCGGGCCTCCTTTTGCTGAACCGAGGCCCGGCCGGGCCCAGGCCCGAACCGGACTCCGGCCGAGCCTGTTTGGGCTCATCAAGTCTAGTTTGTCCATACCAAATTTCAGCTCAACATTCGATCGGGAAGGCATTCAAACTATTTTTTGAAGTTGACTGTAGTTTTATATGTATATTTTGACGCAGTCAACTTCAAAAAATGATTTGAATGCCTTCCCAATCGAATTTTGAGTTGAAATTTGGTATGGACAAACTAGACTTGATGAGGAACATGTTCAAACAATTTCATCAAAAAATTCCACCAGGAAGGTGCCCAAACGGGCTCGGCCGGACGGAGGTTCCTGTCAGGCCGGCCTGACGAGAAGAGTACTCTCTCTCTCTCTCTCTCTCTCTCTCTCTATATATATATATATATATATATATATATATATATATATATATATATATATATATATAAGAGAAACTTTTTAAGGGCATACAGCGTGCCACATAATCATGTCATGTCATCATATATAACAATTACTAAATTACTTTTTATATCTTTTATTTTTTTATTACATTCTATTTTTTATTCCATATTGATATGCTATGGAAAGAAAAGATTGTAGGATTCTATAAAATAAGTAATTGTAATAATGTGGATTCTATCCTACAATAAATATATACGTAGTATTTAAAAGTAATATTTTTAAATATTAAAGTGTATAAATATTACTCTTTTCACATCAATCGTTCCACTTTTAGATTAGGCCAAGTAATATATTTTCAGAAATTGCTCTAAATAGGAGTACAAACATTTTGAAATTCCAAAATAGGAGTATCATTTTTTTTATTCCCTGAATATGAGTAATTTGCCAAGTTTGGAAAAAATGTCATGTTTAAAAGTCTTGTAATGCCAAACATGGCAGAAATTTACTCGTATTCAAGGAATAAAAAACATGATACTCCTATTTTGGAATTTCAAAACGTTTTTACTGCTATTTAGAGAATTCTCTCTCAAATTATATTAGAGTAACATGGATTTATATAATACATATAAATATATGTTTATGTATCTTTTCACAAGTAAATACGTTTAGCCCAACCAAAAAAGTAAATATGTTTAGTTGTTTCTTTATTGAAAAAATTTCATTAATATTACTCTTTATTTATAATGTGATGGACAAAAAAATTACTTAGTAAGTATTAGTAATTTACATCTTAGCGACTACATGTAATTTAAGTTACTATAATGTAAAGTTTAAATACAACTATAGTAACTAATAGTTACTAAGAGTAATATTTTTGTCCACAACTTTTTATTAGTAACATTTAAGGAAAATTCCTTAATTTTTACAACTACAATTTAAATGTTCGTTCACTTTTGAAATAGCTTCTTAATCCAAATAAAGAAATCTTCATACATTTAGGATGTTTTTAATTAGACCAATTTCAGTCTCAGACAAGATCAGATCAAACATGAATCACAATAATAATAATAATAATTATTATTATTATTATTATTATTATTGTCAAAGTTATACATACATAAAATAGACATCTCCTATATTGTATTACTCCAGACCAAATTAGAACTGATAATGTCAATCTAATTAAAAATATCCGTACTACTGATGTTTTCAATATGACGAATTAAATGAGTAAATTGTAAAAATGATCCATTTTTTTACATTTTCAATGTGACGAAATAATGAATAAAATGTAAGATCTTACTAATAAAATTTACAAATACTCATTTTCATACAAAAAATCCTTGATGCATATGCTCATCTTATTCTTGTACTATTTGGTTCCCCTTCTTTTCCCTCGTCGGTCTAAGCTTGTGTTGTACCACTTACATTTGAAGAGAACAACAGAAGTATTACCTCTGTAACTCAATTCATAAATGTCCTCTAATCTATTATTATTATTATTATTATTATTATTATTATTATTATATAAATTTATAATAATAATAATAATATAAAAGCAAAAGAAAATTTGCAAAGCAAGTTACCGCCAAAAAGTAGTAGATTCTAGAATCACAACTTGAGTTTCATAAAGAAGACTTCACTTAAATTACGAATTGAGATTTAATAAAATACGTATCGGCCATTATAATGCTCAGATTTGAAGAATGAGTTTGATTGGTTGTTTTGTTGGCAGCGGCTGATGTTCAACTCCCCAATGTAGCATTAAATGCATCTTTGTGTAAAACTGTAAATGTGTATGATCGGAATCCAATACCTGCATATAAAGAAGAGAAAATGTGGTTTGCAAATCAATTTTCAGCATACCATACATCTGAATCCCAAACAAAGTTCAAACTGGGTTCGTGGAGTTTAATTGATAAACCAAATAAAGGAGATATCTACATGGAGAAAATTGATAAAAAGAACACATGCTTTTGAGATGCCACGAATAATTTTCCGCAAAGCCATGCATACGATATTCATATTTTCATATTGAGAATATGAACCTCCAGACCCAGGTATGTGGCTATATTCGTATATATCATACTCTTACTTTTGTTTATACGGAGTATATAACACATGATTTCAAACATTTAAGGGAATAGTCTGTGAATGTATTTGTGCATGCATTTGTTGCAAAAACATAAGGAAATATTGATTTCATGATGTGTGTACACATGTGACATATTTGTGCATGCATTTGTAGCACATTTTATAAAGTTTTGTGCCGCAGATTCGTTAAAAATGTGTTCCATCACCTTTCCTAATAGATTTTAAGTCATAGATTTTATGGCACCTTTCCATCACCTACATATTTTCAAATAAAAATGTATTAATACTGACATGTAGCGAATAAATGTTTAATATTTGAAAACATATTTCAACTGATAAATTAGATGAATGTACAGGTATGTCCAGATGACATGTGAGAATGACAACTTTTTAAAACTAGGTTAGGTTAACTAAACTTTTATTTTGTTGTTTAAATTATCAAAAGAAAAATCTATTGCTTTGATAAACAAATAGTATGAAAAAGAATGCTAGGTTGGTAATCACACTGGGATGCCCGCAGGTCTACAAAGAGACGAATCATGATCGTTCCTATACGACCGAAGGTTGTCCGGCGATTAAAGAAACCCAGTCGGCCACCACTCCGGAGATCTTTTTCATCCTCCCGTGACGAATCATGATCGTACCTATAAATAACATGTTATTTATAAACTTTGGATGCGATCATACCAGCATTAATGCACCAGATCCCATCATAAACTTTAATTTCGGGAAAGAATTCTGACGAATCAATGCTAAGAAATTTTGAATAACGATATGGTTTATGAAATAAAAGATACTCCTAATTGTTTTGCAAAGTCATAATTAACTCAATTTTTAATAATTAAAATTTACATATTCAGAATTTACATTAAATTCTCTTCAAAGTTGCAAATTCCAAATTAGAATATAATACTATCTATAAAATTGACATTCTAATTAAGCAAATAGAAGAAAAGTGTTTGACCAAGAAAAGTCAACTTTGCAAATTCCAAATTAGAATATAATTAAAAATTAACATCCTAATTAAGTAATTAAAATGAAAGTGTTTGACCAAGAAAAGTCAAATTTGTAAATTCCAAATTAGAATATAATTAAAAATTAACATCCTAATTAAGCAAATAAAATAAAAATGTTTGACCAAGAAAAGTCGAATTTGAAAATCAATTTGGGACGGAGATATATCTACCAATTTCATATGAAAAATTCATTGTCTCGGAGAAATTAGAGAAGGTAGATGAATGGTTGTAGTTTAATATCAAGCAAAAAGGGAGAAATTGAATCTATAGTGAGACAGAGAGAAAATGGTGCGGAAGATGAATCGGGTCATCTAAGAAATCCTGAGGTTATGCCGCTGACTATATACTACGGGAATAATATGATGGGTAGTTGGGTAAGTTGGTTGATTAGGAGCAAAAGAACATGGATTGGGCCTGAATATTCGACCGCAATCCTAAACAGTACAATTAAATAAAGGGTGATTCTATTTGCAGCCATTCTTTTGCTAAACACAGCCACATATATCTTCAAATGTCTAAATTACCCCCGTTACCATCGACTAAACCTTCATGAAAATTGCCGGATACAAATTAATGAAATCATCCGGATCTGAAAAAGTGGATGAATCTAGTTCAGCTGCTGAAAAGTGAGGAAAACAGAAGACTTCAGTTCTTGAATCCATTGATCCACCACGCTAGGATGGACGATCACCGGTTTGTTTATTCATAAGTTCAACATAAACAGAAGCAATGTACACCGAATAAACAGAAGACTTCAGTTTAAAATCCATTTTTCCTAATAAGTCCTTGAAAAAGTCACACGAAGCAAAGGTCTCCGATCCGGTGCTAGGATGGACGATCACCGGGGCGAGTTTTGCTACCTCCGTCGCGCCGCCACCCAGTTCTCGGTCGCTCTGCCACTCTCCAGTCGCTCCGCCACGCTCCGGTCGCTCTGCCACGCTCCAGTTACTCCGCCACCGCTCAAGGAAATCCTAGGCTTTGATTACAACTTCTGTAATTCTGGGTTTAGTTGTTGAAGCTCAACCTTGAAGGTCCGCCATTAATGGCCGCTCAAAGCTCTGGGAAGGACAGCCTGCTCCAAACCTATTGCCGGTGTCTCTGCCCTGTACACTACCTGTGTCCCAGCAAAGATGGTCTTTCTTGGTCCCAGCAATGCCCACTCCTGATCCTTCTTGAACATTGATTCAACTTAAACTTATATGGCTGGTCCGTGGAGTTTCACCCTATTGATTTCGGTAGGTAGCTGGGAGGAAGATGACATTGGAAAGAATCGAGGGAATGGAATTAAGGGTATAATTGGATTTATCAAAAAAATGTGGTTGTATTTAGTAAAATGGTGGCTGTAAATAGAATTTGCCTTAAATAAAATAAATGGACAATCCTTTTATATATGGAGCCCATTAATAATTTGTGATAGGCTTTAAATCAAAAAGTTATTAAAAATATATGAGGTATTTATACGTAAATATATAATAACGTTTTTATGCGTAGATATGATCTTTGAACTTTGAATGAAATAAAATAATGATTCCAATTTTATATTGATTTTAGATTGATAGGAATAATTATTGAGCAGTATAATTTTCTGATTATTTTTTAATTAGCTGAATTGTTGTTACTATATGTTCTCCTTTACTTATTCTTATATAGACTTTTTTTAAATATAAAAATATCAATCCTCTCAATGTACCAAACGCCCACAGGTTGATGATGGTATTCATTTACTCCTCCAAAAGGGATTTTCTCCTCAAAAAAACCGTTTCAAGATTCCTCAACATACATGATCAAAAAGATTCCTCAACATACTGTCTTTGGTCGATATTACAAATTAAACAGTTCGTATATCATACGACCGGCCCACTATGAGCATAGTACACCCGCCACCAATACGACGTAGTTCTAGCAGTTGGCTTCATTATTTTTTATTTCTCTCTTTTTTTAAAATGGTAATAACTTTTTTATTTTTGATCCGATTTTTATAAAATTTATATCAACATTTTTTATTTTTCATGATCTTTCAAATGAGACCAATATTGCCTATGTAATTTTAACATATTAACATTTGCGTGTACAAATATGTAACTTTACGTGTTAAAATATGTAACTCATGTTCAGTCAGGCCAAATGAAACTCGTGTGTAAAAATATTAAACTCTACGTGTATAAATATGTAACTTTACGTGTAAATATATGTAACTCGCGTTCAGGCAGGTCAAATGCAACTCGTGTGTATATATATGTAACTTGTTTATAAAAAGATGTAACTCGCTCATAAAAAGATGTAACTCAATTATCAAATGTAACTGAGGCCACTGATCCACTCCCAAACAGATTCGATCTTCTATTTCACAAACTTATCATCTCCCTGCAATTCATATGCAACTCATGTGTATATATATGTAACTTGCATGTAGAAATATGTAACTTTACGTGTAAAAATATGTAACTTCACGTATAAAAATATGTAACTCACATGTATAAATACATAATACAATAAATTTTTTATATACACAATTTTAAGATAAATTGTGATTTACACAATTATTTTTCTATATTAGATTTAGTTCGATTTTCTTTATAATCCAATACTCATTAATATAATAGTTCCATAATTTCTTAAAATTTCATAAGCAATATTGGTCTCATTTGAAAGATCATGTTAAATAAAAAATATTGATATAAATTTTATAAAAATCGGAGCAAAAATAAAAAAGTTATTATCATTTTTTAACAACAAAAGCAAAAAAAAGAAAAAAAGAAACCAGGCACTCCATCGTTTTGAATGAAGCGTGCGTCGTTTTGCAACCGGGCGCACCATCCTCATGGTGCGCCGGTTGCACGGTATAAATTGCGCAAATTAAATGATAATGTGCAATGGAACCAGACTAATTATTGAAGGTTTGGTGGCTAAAGTTTTGACAAGAAATATAGGGCGACAAGTATAGTTTCCGAAATTGTCATTAACTCTTTTAAAATATGAGATTTCTTTTAAAATTTCAAAGAAGACAATTTTAAATCATGGGTTAAGTTGCTTATGCTATGACTATTTTCTGTGTATATTTTATATACTACATTATTATTATTATTATTATTATTTCTTTGAAATTATATGATTTACACATTTGATATATGTGCAAATTGTTTGTTCGTGTTATACGAAAATTTTGCTTGTTACATTTATACAAAATATTCCCCGTGCATCGCACGGGTGGAATACTAGTTGTCCATAAAACACTTCATCATGTGACCCCTTCACAGAAATCCCATTATTTTGAGTTGATCGATTCATATCCCGACGGTGAGTCAAAAACTTAACTCCATTAACTATACATCCAGAATAACTTTTGAACGGAGGACTAGAACGAAAAGCAAGAGAAACCAATTGTTCGCTCACTTCTGGCGTTGAACACTCTTGGAGGGAAAAGATCTAAACAGATAAACATTTATTAGTTATCAATGAAATTGCACCAAGAAAAATAATATGACTGAAATTATTATTTTTAATACATCGGAAAAGAAGAACAAACAAAAAAGAAGAAATTAAAATCTAATAAACTCTAGACCATTAGCATCCTCAAGAAGAGTAATTTTTATCCATGCAGAAGCCTCTTGAAAAATAGTAAGTCCCCAAGGCGATGCATGAGCCGCATTAGCTAAAACATCGACACTTCTATTGCCTTATCAAAAAGTATGTTGAACCTTGACAAACCTTTCATCTCCAAGAAGCTCCTGGCAATCTCGAACCAGTACCCCTATACTATTTTTGTTCCAACCATCCCTCTTATTAACAGCTTTTAGCATGCTCTCAGAATCAAACTCAACAATAACTCTATTCAGATCTAGCTCTCTCGCTAGTACCAAACCTTTCCTTAATCCCCAAAGTTCTGCTTTAAAACTATCAGATTTCCCAATATTAATACAAAAACCGCTAACACATTCTCCTTTATGATTACGTATCAGCCCACCAGCCCCGGCCTCTTTTCCCTTTCCTCGACTAGATCCATCACAATTAAGTTTAAAATATCCTGGTTCTGGAGGAATCCATTTAACGATTTTAGCCTCTTTACATTGCTTGATACAATCAAACGATGTCGTACCTATATATTCATCTGCTAAAAATTGGGCTTTCCACATAAGCTTGTCCACATTTAGTTGTACACTCTAAAAATCCACTCATTTCTTGATTTGCAGATCATCCACGCCGTATATGCAAACTTTGAGGCATGAGCGGTTCTACCAGAAACATCACTAATGGCATTGCAGTGGCTTCGAACCCACTCTAGACTACTGGAGCTGGTATCTCCTGTTCTATGGCCACATAATAAACTTCTCTGCCAAACTTTTATTGCAAAGGGGCAGCCCCGAAGCAAATGGAGCATTGTTTCTTCTTCATTATTACATATTGGGCATATTTTATCATCAGTTAGATTCCTTCTCCATCTTTCCACATTTGTGAGAAGTTTATTTTTTATCACAAGCCAAAGAAAACATCGGATCTTTTCAGCCACCCGAATCTTCCATACCCAGCTCCAGTCATCTATATCCTGTGACAAAAACATAGAGTTATATGCTGATTTTACAGAAAAACTCACCTGTTGCAGTTAGCCTCCAGTAAATGCCATCAGGATAATCATTTGCCATAGGAATAGGTACCGCTCTCACATCCTCGACCACTTCTTCTGGAAGTATTGTATTAAGTTTGTCAATATTCCGTTCCTTGTTATTCCTTAATAAATCCGCCACTCTAACTTGTCCTGCAGTTGCTGCTAACGGGGATGCAACTTCTTCATAGAGAGGCCTATCTCTCACCCAAATATCGAACCAGAATGATATGTTCTCACCATTACCCACTTGCCATCCCAGCCCATTCCGTATGATGTCCCTGTTATTCAAGATATCCCGTCAAGTGTGAGAGGTTCGTGATTTTTTTGTAATTTCAAAAAATGAAGAGTTTCTGATATATTTCGCCTTGAAAACTTTCACCCAAAGCTTCTGGGCATCCATCATGATGTCCCAACCCAATTTAGAGATTAAGGCCAGGTTGTTATACCAAGCTTTCCGAATGCCCAAACCACCTTCTTCCTTTGGTTTGCAAACTTCATCCCAATTGACTAGATGAATTTTACTTCTATCTCCCTTGTGACCCCAAAGAAAGTTTCTGTTGATTTTGTCGATGCTATCGCATATACTCATAAGAATCAAAGAGCTTTGCATAACATATTGGGGTATAGCCGTGGTCACGGATTGAACCAGTGTCTTTCGGCCAGCCAAATTTAATACCTTTTCTTTCCAAGAAGCCAATCTTTGTTTCACCCGGCCAAGAATAAAAGCACATTTGTCTTTAGATTTGCGCCCATGAATGATAGGGGCACCTAAATATTTACCAAGATATGTAGTTGGCTTAATACCAGAGAGATTTTGAAGGCTGCTTCTAGTACCCCCATCAATATTGGGCGAAAGATACACCCTAGATTTATCCTTATTAATTTCCAGACCCGATCTAAATGAGAACGTCTCCATAATCTGCATCATAACTTCAATTTGCTCCCTAGACGCAGTACCAAAAAGCATCAAGTCGTCTGCGAAGAAAAGGTGAGAAATGCTAATACCCGGTTTTCCTACCCTTATTGGCTTCCATCTATCTGCATCAACCTCCCTAGAGATGAGATGCGAGAGTCGTTCCATAGCAAGAATGAACAAGTAAGGCGATATGAGATCTCTTTGCCTAAGACCTCTTTTTGGCTGAATATCCTCTAGGATGTACTCATTCCATATTATCCCAATCTTCATTTCTCTTATTGAGTTCATGATCAGTCTAGTGAACTCCATGGGGAAACCAAAATCTGTCAAAGTCACCTCCAGGAACTTCCAACTCAAGCAGTCATAAGCCTTTTGCAAATCTAGCTTCATTATCATTCCACATTTCCTTCCCTTTCTAGATTCTAACGAATGAACAACCTCCTGCGTAATAAGAATGTTATCAGTTGTACCTCTGCCCGGTACAAAGCTACTTTGAAACGGACCAATAATCTGCCCAATCCATTTCCTCATGCGACTAACCAGAAGTTTAGAAATCACCTTGTAAACCACATTAAGTAAAATTATAGGTCTGAAATTACCAGCTACCTCTGGGGCTTCATTTTTCGGGATTAAAACCATGTTAGCCTTTAGTATTTGGGCAGGGATACTCCCTGTTCGGAGAGAAGTGTTTACAAAATTTGTAATGGTAGAACCAACCGTATCCCAAAATTTCTTATACACAACTGCTTGTAGTCCATCCGGTCCTGGGCTGCTGAAACTGTTCAAGCTAAAAACTACTCTTTTAACTTCCTCCAAATCAGCCTCTTTCATAAAATTGATCCTTTGCTCCTCTGAAATTTTTGGGCACTCCAGTCCCGGTATCTGGTGATATCCATATCCGTTCGAATCCCCAAACAGTTCTGTGAAGTACCCTCGAATATGATTAGCCATCTCCTCATGACTGAAATTATGGATATACCTTCCTTTGAAACCATTGTGGAAACTCCTTAAGTTGAATTTCATCCAATGAACAGATGGTGTTCCGCAAACTAATCACCTCTTTGTGCTCACTGTTCATCATGTAATTATAATGTGAATACAGAAACATCATATATTGAGTACGCAAGTATAAATACTTTTAAGGAAAAATTGACAAGAATAATCCCACCTTTCACTGGTCTTCTCATAACAATCCCACCTTTAAATAATTCCAAAATAATCCCACCTTTGCACCTCATCTTCTTTCATTGGACCCTGACCATGTTTTTTACTCTTTCTTTGAAAATTATATAAATAATCTCACCTTTCACTTTTTAATTATATCCTTATAAATGTGAGATTATTTATATAAGATTTTTAAAAAAGGTAAAAAACTTGGTCAGGGTCCAATGAAGAAGATGAGGTGCAAAGGTGAGATTATTTTGGGATTATTTAAAGGTGAGATTATTATGAGAAGACCAGTGAAAGGTGAGATTATTCTTGTCAATTTTTCCTTCTTTTAATCACTTACTCAATATACTGTTGGACTTCCGGGCAATTCTGCAAAATGTACCACTCTGCTCTATTTGATAATCGATTCTTTATATATATCCAACTCTTATCTATGGGCATCCTCACCTAAAAGACAACAACTTCAACACTCTATCAATATATTTATCAAATAAGGATTAGTGAATGAGTTAAGTTTATAAAAGGAAATGAAAACACTTGTTGAATGTCAATGATTTATAGTTATTTAAAAGTTAATTAGAATTCATATAATACTTATTTTATTCATAAGTGGTTTTTGCATATTTCTTTGCAAAACAATTAAGACTTTAAGTTCCAAAGTCTCTACCATTAACCCAATTGGGGCTTAATTGAAACAAGCAATTAAAATTTATTCAGTTTCATCGCAAAAAAAAAAAAATTATTCAGTTTCTTTATGTTTTACAATGTACTGGTTGGGGCTTAATTTATTCAAATCGTCACTTGACATTAAAATTTCAGATCCGGGCAAAGGAAACACAAGTCATTGTTAGCATCCTAGGCGATAACCCAAATTTAGCATCTGAAATAGCCATTGAGAGAGGAAAGTGTTTAATGTGACTAGACTCTAGAGACTTCATTGTTAATGTAAATGTCAGCGCACTTCTCAAAGAGTCCAGCTAAAACATAGTTTTAAATCTTATAATTTTTAAAGGCTCACGTGATTATAGGAATGCCTTATTTTGGTTAATTTATCAAAACAACATGAGTTGGCGTCGTATCATTCCTGCACAGTTTAAATCTCAGATATACAAATTGCACATAACTGAAATATACTCCATAGTATAAAATAGAAGAGTGATGTAGTAATACAGTTTGTTTGTATAGACAAATCCGTTTTAGTAATGCAGTAAACCTTTTAATCAAAAAACAAAAAAAAATACTATACCCTTTGTATTTTTTAATCAGAATCATTTCCTATGATCTAAACAAAGTCTGGGAATACAAAAAGCAGAGAGAAAACTACTTTGACTAGTGTGTGACTCAATTGGAAGGTATAGCTAGTGCCAGTACCAAACCAAACACTACAACTCAAATATCAACAATAACAACAATAAAAGCTGCCAAAATAACTATATATCAGAATTACCACTTGCCATTAACAGTAAAAAGAATTTGACTGTAACAAAATGGGTTAATCTCCTCTGTGTGACACCTTAAGGAAAAGAGTTGTAGGAAATAGGGAAATGAGTACACTGCTCTAATTAGGGGTTCGTAATGGTCACTTCCAGCTCAACACCATCATGTTCCTTTCATTAAAAGAAAGACTGGAAATTGAAGTCTTCATAAGTTCATTAAGTTAAAATTTCACCCCGTTAAAAAGTTAAAATAGTCTTCAAAATTAGTTAATTTGAATAAGTACTTAATTTATGAAGTCTTCATAAGTTCAAAAAGTTAACTTATTCATTTGGAGAAGAAAAGTGGGAAAATGAAAACATGGTAGGTTGTTGGGTCCAAAGTCTTCATAAAATAGTAACCAGACTTCTTTTTTTTCACAATAAACCTCACAAAATTAGCACAACCAATGTCAACTACGGAGTACATTTTAATTCTTCAAATAAGTCAGCAAAGAAACTTTCAAAACCTGGAAAAAGAAGATGAAAAACAACTCTATAAGTCCATGCTCTGTGGAAGAAGACTCAAGATTGTTCAATTTTAGCACACACAGGACCGTCTCTCTCCCTTTGTATCTTAGGAACCTCCTAAGAAGAGTTGGTTTGACAATGATCACAAGAAGTGAATCACGTATGACAATATGTGTATGTATACATATACGTATATACTCTGTAAGTACTAAGTAGTTCTTCATTTTCAACTTACTTTTTTTCATTTGAAATTATCTAATACTTGACAGTAGGTGCAACTTATGTTTTAAAAAAATCCATTATCTATTTTAAATGTGGAGAGTGCATGTTGTTTACTGCTTGATGTTTTTGACTTTGAATGGGTTTTATATTTCAGATGTAAAAACAGACAAAACAGAAAATTATAACAATATAAGCTTCCGTATTTTAGTTTGCTGGTACTCGGTGATGAGGTGTTATTAGTGGGAGAAATGACATTTTTTTAATGCTGCAGTAATTGAATGAACTCTTAATTTGAGATCCCAGAGTATATTTTATAGGGATTACTTGTTATATCTCTTCTTATCCACTTTAAAAACTACAAGATTTTTTTTATAGGAACCATTATCGGCGGAAGATCCCCAAAGTTGGGATTATTCTAAAATAATCGATATTTGGGATTATTATCAAATAGGTATGCAGCAATAATTCCTTCTAATCTTTAGATTTAAATCACTCTATGTCATAATAGGTTATTTAGTCATCTATTTAATCCCAGTAAACACACCCCCACATTCTGTGGTTACTTCGGTATGCAACAATAATTCATTCTAATCTTTAGATTTAAATCACTCTATGTCATAATCTGAAGGCCACTATACAAAATTCTTTAGTTTTCTATCCCCACCCACAAAACATGTACCTTGTACTACAGTACTACCTATATATTTGTCAATCCCATATAAAACAGAAGGCCTGCTATATTTATAGCAAATACACAAATGATTTAGTTAAATATCTATAGTAATAAATAGACAAAACCCATCTGCTTCCGTATATGCTTACTATATATGTGTGTGTGCGCGTGCGTGCGTGTGTGTTTATTTTACTAACCGAGAAATATATGAAGTACTACGTATGAATATATGATATACTAGTATCTGTTTATTGATTTATTCTACCTATGTTTACCACATATGCATGTTTAATTTAGTATGTACACTAACAAATACACAGTACTAACACATAGGCCAACAAATCTATATCTATATCTATATTCTATATATATAGTAAAACAGAAAAGTCTGAAGGAGGGGTCAAGGAGATTTGGGCGGGAAAAAATCTACCTTCTTCATAATAACATACTCCGTATTTAATAGTTAATACTTTGTGTGGTTAACATATTTATAAAAATAGTCCAAGATAAGTATCTTATTAGAAATCCAAGTAAGTTACAACATTTCTTCTGGATGAGAGATTGGTTCTGTATATACACCATAAGAATGTAAACCACCTAAAAAGTGAAACAGTATGCCAATTGATTCTTCAAAAACATAGTATGGAGGTATGTGCCATGGAAAAGGCCAATTATTGATGGTTTGAGAACAAAAACCAATAGAGATACGCGAAAAGGATCATTATTTTGAAATCACAAATGCAGAAATCTTTAAACTTATAATCAAGTTTTTTTTTATTTGCTTCTTTTATACTAAATTGCTAACTGTAATGTATCTAATTTACTTCTGTAATAGATTTCACTATAAAGAAGAAGATTAAGAAAATATAATGGGGTGTTGAACGGGTACAAAGTACTGCTAGGTTCTCTCTCTTGGGAGCTTCTAAGAAGAGATCTACTGTCCCAATGACCTGAACGCTGTCATTCACAGCAAGGTCACAGATGCAACAAAGGAGATAACCATGTCAGTTCCTTTTGCTTCTTCTAATTAGGAAGAATGTTGTGTTTCAATCGATGGATACACGCACTGAACCGCTCTGGTTAAAAGAGGGGAAAACTGCATTGATCTAGATGGGTATGGGCGGGGAAAATCGTTTTAAACGAATTCATAATTTATAATGAATACTCGGTATGGAACATCACTAACAGTCAAATTTAGCAATTATAAAATTCGATAAATATCTGAAACAAAGTAATTTTGTTGGTAAGTGTATACAATAGCAGTAAGTGATTTAAACTAGCTAGCTATTATGATGAGGAGAAAGTTGAATCCAGGCAGAATGAAGTAAGACACTGGTATTGTAATAGTTTGTACTTGAGAAAGTATGGGGAAAGTTGCGCCACTCTTTGGTTCCCATGCAATAAAACAGTCCTCGGTTGTTGTAGAATCTAGGAAAGTAGACCTTGTTACCCGTTCCTCGTCCTCTGGGAATTGCTTTAAGGGAGAAGGATGCGGATTGAGAGACGTACAAGGCTTTTCCTTGGAGATCATCCACCTTTTGCCACACTTGAGTGTGTGGATCAAGCTTGAGAACACAAACCTCGCCCCCTCCTTGTAGAGTTGCCACGCACATGATGTCGCCATCGCTTTCGAGGAGGAATTGATCTTTGAATGTCTAAAACAGTTCATCTGCTGGCTTGCCAATAACTTCCCAAGAAACCTCAGTCAGTCCCTTCTTGGGAGGTCGAAACCAGAGGCATCCCAAATTCCCAGATTCACCCAAAACATAAAAGCTCCCATCACAGACAATGGGGGGGCATATGGATGCCACGAAGTCATCTGGGTTGCTAGTGTTGACAGACACGGACCAAGAATCACATCCCACCATTGTTTCTCCAATAAAGGCCACTTTTTGTGGGACATAACTGACAAAGCCAACAATCCTACACGAGGAAGAAGTGGGCGAACCAGAGAAACACATGGATTCGAATGAGATGGGCATGTCACGTACTGGAGGAAGGTCAATTCTATCCATGGTGGAGGGGTTAAAAAGGAAGTATGTCATGGGGCCCTTGCGAAGAAGCAGCCAACCGCAGCTAGCATAATAACATTCAACCTCGCCCGGGTAATCCCCCAATAGTTGAGGGATGTGTACTGAATATGTGGCACCTCTGCGAGTCGGGTCATGGAAATTGAACCTCCCAGTTCTGTGGTTCAAGTACATCAGATACGGCGCCGAATCTAAAGCAGGCGGCGGAGGATCGTGATGAGATGCTAACGCCGCCTGTGGCGGCGGCATCCTTCTTGCCGCTGCCAGCTTCCATGATTTGCAAACGCACTGAAAGCTCACCTCATCTCCTATCACATCCAAACGCGACAATATACAGCACAAAAGCTCCTCGTTTAGATCGCCCCAGCCTGCCCTTTCCTCTTCTTCGTCTTCCTTCCCGCTGCCGGCGGGCAATGCTTTTTTGCCTATCAATCCTGAATTCCTCATGGAAACCCTTAACCAAAAATTTATATTAACGCAAGAAATAATATGCCTAGCGTTGTAAAGGACGGATTTTATCTTCAGAAGACTTTCAGAGTGATAGAAGACCGGATTGGATAACCGAAAAATTATCTCTTTATTAATGAATGAATGGGTTTATAAATAAACAAGCAACAAAACCGGTTGGATTAGGAATCTGTATCATGCTCGTGTACAACTAGCTAATACTCCGTAGAACAATACGAGTATTTAGGAAATTAGGAATCTATGAATAATATACTCCACATATTGGAGATTTTCTTTTTTTTTTTTTTTTTTTTGAAAATAGAGATTTTCTTAAATATGACTAAATAAAAGGATAATTGAAATGGGAAAATTGAAATTGAAATGATCAAAATAGGATTAAGAAGTCGTTTTCTACACCCGATCTGAATGTTTTTATTATGAATTTTTAAAGTTTTGATCTGATTTGAATATTTCTGATCTGATCTGGTCTGATCTAAATCTTTCTGGTCTGGTCTGAATTTTTTTTATCTGATCTAAATCCTTCTGATTAAATCTGAATCTTTCTGATCTGATCTAATTTTAATATTTCTTTAATTATAATTATTGTAATTATTATTATTATTATTATTATTATTATTATTATTATTATTATTATTAATTTAAATAATATCTTAAATTAAATTATATCTTAAATATAATTTAATTATAATTATCCTACGTATTAATTATACCTATTACACTATTTTTAATATTTCTTTAATTAAAATTATATCTTAAATATAACTTAAATATAATAATAATTATAATTATACTACGTATTAATATTTATTTAATTTAAATTATATATTAAATATAACTTAATTATAATTACAATTATAATTATAGTTATAATTATAATTTTAATTTTAATTATAATTATAATAATTATTATTATTTTATATTAAAAATAATTCAAATATAATTATAATTATAAATCATATTTAAAATTATATTATTTATACCTATTACACTATTTGTAATAATAGCTACAATTATAACTGTAATTATAATGAAGAAATAAGGTAAACTTAAGTTTTCATAAAAACTGGGTTAACCTAAGTGAAATTAACCTTTGATCGAAGTTTTATGAAGAAAATTTATTTTCACAGAAACAAAAAAATCAACTGTATAACAGATAATTTAAAATTGCCTGTGATACATACGGATTTTCTTTTGTGCCGATACTCGAAGTGGTCAAATTTAAACAGTCTTGCTTTGAATGAGATAGGTGAAACTTTTTAAATTGCGCATAGTAAACTATTTTCTCTCTGTATATGATTGTGCGAGAATGTCTTCTTCTTCTTCAGAGAGTCCTTAGATTCAGCTCCCATCATCTCCATTTCATATCCAGTTCATATGACTGGTTTTTATTCCTTGAAAAGATCAAATTTATTTAGTTTGAAACAACGGAGATGACAGAATTTTGATGCAATGGCACTTAAGGTATAGCTGGTACAGGCTCCCCTCTCAAAAAATGAAGATTGAATTCCAAATTCAATTTTCATGGGCAATGAGTCTGTACATCTTACCTCATACCATAGTCAAATTCTGGAAGTAGAACCCAAGATTTGTCACATACCCGATCGGGTATATACCCTTACGGGTTTAATGCACCAAACCCCCCTGTGATTTGGAAATTCGGCGCATTAGTCCCCTGTGATTTAAAAAATGCGTCGAACCCCCCTGTGTTTTAATTAATCATGCGCCAAATCCCTTATGTGAACAAATTCAATTGTCAAATAAAAGAAAAATGATTAACATTTTTGTATGATTCAGAGATTTTGACATATTTATTTGCATATTCAATCAAAATATTAGGAAAAGTGATTTTCAAATCGTTAAAATTATTCATAAAGGGGGTTCTGTGCATGATTAATTAAAACACAGGGGGGTTTGATGCATTTTTTAAATCACAGGGGGCTAATGTGCCGAATTTCCAAATCACAGGGGGGTTTGGTGCATTAAACCCTACCCTTACCCGATCGGGTATGCCCAGAAAAGTGACTTTCTGGGCAATTTCCTGATATACCCGGTCGGGTATCCCATACACCCGGTCGGGTATCAGACCCTGCAGCTCCCAAAAGCCTATAAATACACCCCTTTCCTTCACAATAAAATCACCAATTCACATATACTCTTTAGCTCAGTTTAGTTAAGTACTTTCTTTATATTTTTATCATGTTTAGTCTCCAAATGAGGAGCTAAACTATTCCATCTTGGTTTTGCTACTTTGAAGCTTAATGAATTTGTAAGTTGTGAGTTATTCTCTTTAATCTTCTTCCTTGAATATTAATTTTTCCTTTAAATACTATTTCTATATCAATGTTGGGGAGTGTTACTAAGATGAAAATTAGTTAACATCTTGACATTAGTTATAGTAATAATAGCTATTTCTTCCTCTATGTTAATATTGGGGAGTGTTACTAAGATGACAATTAGTTAACATCTTGATATTGACTATAGTAGGATTCATCTTCTTTAATATTCTTCCTTGAGTATTAATCAATTCCTAGTCATATTTCATATTAATATTTTGAACATTACTTAAAGGATCAACTAGTTTTGTTTCATATATTAATTATTACTAGAATCGGTCGATTGATACGCTTGTTATTAATTCGGTCCTTTCACGGTAGTAAACTTGGGTTATTAATGCATGCGTTTCATGGTTAATAAACCAAGCTAAGGGGAATTAATTATTTTGATTAAACCAATAAACCGCTTGTGTTGAGGTTATCAATCTCAATCGTTTTCATCTTGATTTTATTGCTACTATCGAGTGAATATACGGCACGTGTTCTATATTAACTCGGTACTAAATTTTATTAATGAGCGCGTCTCGTTATTAATATCTACCCTCGATGAATTGGATATACTCCTCGATTGAGTATTCGAGAGGAAGATAGTTAAAGATATAACCGGGATTGACGAACATTTTATTAAGTGGATAAAAGCAAAGCCAAGTTTTCTTCTCATTAATTAAACTCATTCATTTTAGTGTTAATTAAATCAAATCAAATCAAATCTAAAACCTCCCTTGTTACTAGTTTATAAAAAGAAAAGTATTCCTTTCCCTGCGGATACGAACCTTACTTCGCTATACTACGTATTAGTGTTGTATTGATTATTATTTTGAGTGCATACACGACAAAGTGCACGTCAAATAGTATGATAAAATCAATGGAAAACTGTCAAATAAGTCTTCCTACTTTATAAAAAAAGTCAATTAGATCATCGTACTATTAAATGAATCAATTAAGTCCTCAAAGTATTAAAAAGAATCAAAATGAGTACTTTTTCATTGGTTGTATGCCGGTTTCCCATGTCCAGTTGGCCTGTTCTTTCCATTTACTATTTCATTTTTAATTTCCTTTTTCTTTTCCCTTTTTCCTTTTCTCTCTTTCTCCTCCCCCACAATTTCTTCTTCCTGGGTTTCTGCATCCGGCGTCATGATGAGTTTCTTACTTTCTTTATTTTCTTTTTTTCATTATGTTTCTGCAGAAGGGCACCATCGCCAGCGTCCATATATTCCTAAACCGCCGTTGCCCACAAGTTTCCAACTGCCGACGCGCGCCGGCCGACGTCCAAAACTTCCTGAGCAGTCGTTGGTTGTCGACCGTTTCCGACATCTTCTCCAATCACCTTCGTGCACCACTCTTTGCCCATTACTTCACCACTCGTCGCCCAACACATTAACCGCCGCCTGCCCCCGTTGGCTAAAAATTCCCCAACCTCCATTGCCGGCCGGCCATCGAACGAAATAGAACTAATGAAGGATGGAAGAAAGATAGAAAGAAAGAAATAACGAAAGAGAGTTAAAGTAATTAAAGAAGACGAAAGAAAGAAAAGAAAAAACTTAGGAGCGAGCCAGAACGATTGAGAGAAAGATAGTGAAGGGGGAAGAAGAAATAAAGAAAACAAAAGAAAAAGATCTACGTGGATGTTGAAGTCATCAACTTACCGGTATCACCCGTTATAAACCGGCTAAGAGGATAAATTGAACATTTTAGTTGAAGGACTTGATTGAATGATTTCATAATACGAGGACCTAATTGACTTTTTTTATATAGTAGGAGGACCTATTTGACAGTTCTCCCTAAAATCAACAATGTTACGCACTTGAGCAATTTTACATTAAAGTGATAAGATAAAAATGATATAATGTCTTCTATTTTTGTACTATGTCAAAAATCAATAAAAGCACTTATAGTGTATATTTGATTCAACAAGTTTTAAGTGTTTTTTTAAATTCTACTTGTATTTTTTAAGAAATACTTGCATATTCCTCACTAAAATAAATGTTATTTTAAAAATGTAACTTCTTAAATGTAGTTACCATAGAAGATACTTTAGCCATTTAACTTAGAACCCGTTTGGTAGCACGAAAATCGGCTGATTTGGCTGATACTGCTAAAATTTATGAAGTTCTGACTGAAGTGGTTGCATTGGTTGATTCTGCTCATTTAAAAAAATTAAAATATATTTTATTAATAAAATAAAGAAAAAATTATATCTAAAATAGCTAAAATGATCTTCTACAGTAACTTCAGCCAATACAGCCAGAAAAGTAACTTCAACCTTACTTTTTCTGTTTATTACACAATTCTGTGTACTAAAGCAAAAATTACGTGTTTGGTAAAAAAGTTAGCTGATAAGTCTGATAAGCCGAAAAACATTGTTGCCAAACGGCCTCTTATTTTCAAGTTTTACATTTATGTGACCATGAGTCCATGACACTATTTTAAGTAACTTTAGTCATTTTTTTGCAAATAAGTTTTGTTTCATTAGTATTTTTGAAAATTCCTTTTCTTTTAAAATACATTGATGCTGAAGTGCGCTTCGCTGCCAAAATGTCAAACCCATTCCATCGCCTTAGTCCTAAATATCAAACATACATATATATATACTAGCCCGGTGGCGCGCTTTGCGCGGCGGGTGATGCCCAATGGCAGGTAATAAACGGGAAAAAGTGGGTAAAAGTTACATGTTTTTGAATGGATAATGAAAAATGGTTGTGTGATTTTTTTGATCATTCATATAGAACCATGTATGTGTACGTAACATACTAATTTATTTGCCAAAAGTGAGGGCAGTGCAGGTGGATGTTATGGCCAAACTGTAGCAGTTTGGTACGGCATAACAATACATAAGGTCAATGTGTCAATGACATCGAAGTGCTCATGGGCA